AAATCAAGGCCAGAAAGAACACGTTACAAGCCTCCCTTGGTCCCCCTAAGACGCAGATTGGAAAGACCTTGACTTAGATTTTAAATGCAGACCTTTAAACTCACGCTACCTCAGAAAGAATTTGACGGGAATTTGCTGAAATATCAATGTCGTTGTTACTTAAGCACTAAAACAAATAATGACCTAACTATCTTGCATAAAATCGTAAAGGAAATATATGAATAAATGTAAAAATCACTCGAGAATTAAGTGAATATTCATGCAAATTATTGATGATTTAGTGGACATTATAATTTTATCACACACTTTTGTTGAGGGCATCTAGCTCAATTGCCATTACAGATGGTATTTTCCATTCATTTTTCACTTTATATAGAACTACAAGAGAATTATGTGAAAATTTTAAAATTTTAAGAGGTCATGTGGCAATATGTAAAATTACAAGGGAGTTATATGTAATTTATCCTAAAAATAATTTTCAAAATTCCAAGATCCTAAATAGGAAGCCAAAAAAGATAATTACTGACTACTCTCCTGCGCATTTGAATAATACCATATGATCCCTCTAAAGTTTTAAAATATCCATATAACTCTCTTATGATTTTATGTAAAATGGAAGTTTGATGAAACATAGTCTTCATAACATGTTAGCTGTAATGATAATATTGTCCTTATTTCAGGCACTAAATTGAATAAGGGTCTTATCACTTTTCATAAAAATACATGAGGATTGTGTAGATAAATATGAAACTAGAGTGGATTAAGAGAATATTTATGCAAAACTATAGAGGAATTAAGTAGATATTACAATTTTATTATCAGACATACTTTCGAAACACGTCACGATCAATCATCGTAAACAAAGATAGTTTCCATCCATTTTCCATTGCACATAATATCATAGGAAATTATGTGAGTATTTTGAAATCAAATCAAGGCCAGAAAGAACACGTTACAAGTCTTCCTTGGTCCCCTAAAACGCAGATCGGAAAGACCTTGACTTGGACTTTAAATGCAGATCTTTAAACTCACGCTACCTCAGAAAGATTTGACGGGAATTAGCTGAAATATCAATGTCGTTGTTGCTTGAGCAGAAGAGTCTTCCAATTGCATGCTTTTGATGTCCCCAAGGTACATCAGTTGACAACTAGTACTCTTCTTTACTGATCAGCCGGTGGACCCCTAAGTTTTTGGCTGTATTAATTGACAAGTTTTGCTCTGACTTCTTCTTTTATATTTTATTAATTCCCACACCACTTGTACAATTTTGATACTAGATTATAGAGGCGTCCTTCCTATAAATAACCCTTCATTGAGCAGCTATTGTTATAGTTGTCATTCACATCTTCATTATGAATCCGCAAATCCTCATTCACATCGCTCACATCTTTCACTTCGGTCACATCGTCATTCACATCGGTCACATCATCAAATCTTCATTCACACGAAGACGGGGTAGGGACGGTCATCAGAATTTGGACAGGGGCAGGAACCGTTCCTAAACAGTTCATGATCAGGATTTAATCTAAAAAAATTATACGATTCAGATCACTTCTTATATTTCATTTTTAACAACGTATGTGGGATACACAAAAATTCAGGTTTCTGAATACTGCATCTATATGCAGTTGAAGGCTGTCTCTCGAAGTTGGTAGTCTTTTGTGTTTGCCTGCTTGGCTTCTGTTCGTGTCCAAGCCATGGGCCCTAATAGCTTCTTCTTAAGTGTGTTTTTTTTTAAATATATAGTTTAGGGATTTGGTGGTGGTGTTCCATGTTTGTGAAGGGAATTAATGGCGGTGTTATTTGATAAGTTAATAAAGTTCAGAAGTTTTCAATAGTTGCACCCTGGAAATTTTGGTCTTTTGAAGTTTTTGTTTTTTTTTTCCATTCAATTATTAACCTTATATGCATCGAGATGTGACAAGAAAATGATATTGTTCTTGAGAAAAACCATAGCCTACTCTTGATTGCTATTGGCGTTCTCTCATTGCCTTGATTGTGCTTCCTTATGAGATGTAATTTCAGTGTTCTGGTGTATGATGGTTCGACCTTGGAATTTTGGTCTTTAGAAGTTTTTGTTTTTTCCATTCATTACCACCTATATGCTCGACAAGAAATGCAAGTTGGCTTGAGAAAAAAACACAGCCTACTCTCGGTCGATATTAGCATTCTCTCATTGCCTTGATTGTGCTCGCTTATGAGATGTAATTTCTACTTTGGTGTATGATAGTTCGGTTTATTGGTGGGCTCTGATCCTTTTGGCAGTGTTGTTTAGACTTTAGAGATGTCTAATGATAAATATAGATTACTTGCAAGTTATCTGGAAAATTAGTTCCTTTAGGATTCTGCTCGGTAGAACTATAGGTTGATTTTGTTGGTCTGTAACCAATAATTGCCTTGCGGTTTGCTTTACCACGAGTTAAACGCTTTATACCTGTGAACTAAACAGGCCGAAGGAGAGCCTCAAGCTATTAGATTATCATCAACTTCCTTTTACAAGAATACAGTTACAAAGGATCTCATAGATGGACATCTTGTATTTGTCTGAGGACTTAGACAAGTTGACCATAGTATATTGTTTGAACAAGTTGAGATAACCAGCTTGAAGAAGTAGTAGATACAAACGCTTTTCTTCTTCCTTTTTCAGAAGTGGTTAAACAAAGTATTCTATTCTGCAGATACAAATGATAGGTTTACGCGCTTTTTGAAGGCAGAGCTCATGGTTTAGATGCATTAATTTTCTCATCTTGAGGTATATCTCTAAAAAATCAGAAATGCTAGGAAAGTATTTTTCTTCACCACTTCTGAGAGAGAGTCTGTGTGTCCAAAAAATTTAATAACTTCTACGTCTTTGACCCTTGCTGCAAAGAAAAATAGTTAACCTAAAAACTGATTTCTTTTAATTTTCTTGTCTTCATCAAAAAAGAATATTCGATTTATGCTTTTTCATTTATTTTGTAAGTATCTGAATGAATTTTTGTTGTTATTGGAGAAGGCAACAAATTCAGACAAATCTATCTAGCACCAATTGAATAATAGGTATTTCTTGCTTCTTTTTAGCCACTAATTGGAGAAGTAAGTGAGTCACAGAAGAGTAACTTGAAATTGGTCCTTTTTACACATCTTATTTGGAATCTATAGGGCTATTTGTTGAGTTCAAATGCCTGTGCTCTTCTTTTAGCCAAGATTTTATTAACTAATAAACTGGGCCTTAATTTTGGTTGTTAGGTTCGGTTGTTCATTTATATCATTCAATGTCAAACAACTTACTCATTCACATTGGTAAAATTCAAACAATCTTTACAAGGTATAAGCCACTGTTTACTTCCTTCAATGACTTGCTATGATTGAATGCTTACTATTTGCTAAGAGTTAGGTTGTCCTTTGTATAAATTTCGGCCACTTGATTCATTGTTTTTTTGTACTTTCATCATACATTCACCATTAGATTGGACTATGAATCATTGGAGTGGTTTACTTACCATTGGCCTATTTTATTAGATGAAATTTTTGACAACAATAAACAAGAAGGTTACATTTGACGAAGCAGATTAAAGCTTCGAAATCAAGCCACCAAAAGACTTAGGAGGCGCTTGGCTCTTGCTTTGGAATTGGAAAAGGAAATGTAATGATGGATAGAGGACCCACTAATGAGGGTTTTGGTCAATTCCTCCCAGTCTGGTCGGGAATCATAAATGACTAAATTTTAAGGCATGTGAGGATGGTCAGTTCGGCCCCGGACTGCCTGGGGCTTCACCTCGGCATTGCCTCTCCAAATGCCACCTCGTACACTTTATACGCCTAGGTAGTCTCAACCTTAAGTTCCCACCTCGGTGAGGATTTTCCCCTATCGCCGAGGTGATGTAGAGGATCTGCCAACTGGGAAAAAGTGAGACACGACCTCTGACGCACAGGACGCCTGACAGAAAGCTGCTCTGACACAGGCGCTGCCTGACTCTGACAACTGCCTTTACACGCCTTTTCAGGGACCAGTCAAATCATCTTGATACGCTGCCCGTACCAGCTTTTTAGGGACTTGAATCTGCAGTCCCTTTCTCCTGTCTATCTCTTATAAATACCAGATATCTCTACTGAGAAAAGAACGACCAATCTATGGTAAAACAAACATACTATTGCATTCTTATTCTTTATTTCCTCTAATATACTAACTTGATCGTCGGAGTGATCCCAGGGGAGGAGCCCCGCCGTTCACTTCGGGCAAGTCAACTTCTCACACTTCCCTTGAGAGAGGGCTGATTTAGGTCGATTTTGCTACCCACCAAAAATCACCTCTTCAATTGGTGCCGTCTGTGGGAACTGAAGACCTCAAAAGATGAAGTCCACGTGCTCTAGGAGCAGGAAGGTTCTCACTATTGGAGTTGAACACAGTACCGCAGCTCAGCAGGATAATGCTTCTGAAGGGCGCGAGTCCCTTGGGACTTAGCCCGCGAACGAAGAGGCCATAGCACGTATGACCGAGTTTGTAAGTGAAAACCCTAACATCTTTGAGGAGTTAAGGAGATACTTTAATAGGCAAAGCAAGCAAAAGGCCGAGTCCTCTAAAAGGAAATCAGATGGATCCCCTGAAGGCTCCTCCGATGAGGAATCTGAGGGGAGGCACTCCATCAAGAGCGCCCCGAAGCGAGTCTCTTCTAAAGCTACTTTCAGAATCGCCTCCGTTACAAAGACGCTCACATGAAGTTTGTTAGGGAGGCGAAATGAGGAAGAACCTCGGCCTCAGGGAAGGCCAGGAGTGGACTACATAAGGGCCCCACCCTTCACAGATGAAATCAACAAAGAAGGCTTCCCCCAAACTTCAAGCTTCCTTCGATAGCTTCATATGATGACCGAGGTGATCCTGAAGTCACATTCACGCCTTCATCTCGGCCTTCCGGCTATATTGCATTCCCGACCCCGTCATATGTCGGGTTTTTCCAGTTTTCCTACAGGGGATAGCTTGAAAATGGTTCTGGAGTCTAGAATCTAGGAGCATATCCACCATGGGGGAACTAGTTGAGAGGTTTCTTCACCGGTTCGTGTCTTTTAGACCCACAACCAGGACCTCGGCGTATCTGCTGAACAAACAGCAGAATCCCGGGGAATCACTTCGGTCCTATGTGCAGAGATTTCACGAAGAGAGCGTGCAAATACCTGACCCCAATGAGCAGGTCACGATAGCCGCCTTTACCCACGGGTTCGTTGCCGGGGTATTTAACACTAGGATACACAAAAAGTACCCTCGCACGCTCAAAGAACTCTGGTTGAAGGTCGAAAAGGGCATACAAGCCGAGGACCTCAACCGCATGAAGAAGGAGCTCCAAGCATCTCGCTCGAGAGCTGACCCCCAAAGGAAGAAAGAGACCAGCCGAAGTGAGGCAGGTATAGCAAATGGCTTCCAAAGTTCTAACCGGGACCGTCGTAGTGTGTTCGACAGGATAGTCAAAAGGAAGTCATCTATCCCTGATTCTGAGTTTACCCCATTAAACACCACCCGATCCAGGGTGCTATCCATGATGGAGCAGAATAACTTCGGGCGCGCCCCTCCGAAGATGTTCGGAAATAGAGACAAGAGAAACTCTAACCTCTACTGTCTGTATCATCGAGACATCGGGCACGAGACGGAGGACTGCAACGACCTTAAAAAAGAGATAAAGCACCTCATCAAGCAGGGATACTTGAAACAGTTTATTTGTCGAGACCGATGTCAACAACGGAGCGGTCCACGACGGGAGGACCGAGATGAGAAATGGCGGGAGGACAGGCGAGGGTCAAGAAGCAGCTGTGGACCCCTTGAAGATCTTATGGAGGCAAAAAGGCCTCCCCGAGACGGGTCCTCGGGTCATGGACTAGGGTACGACTAGAACATCGTCGGGGTCATCAACACCATTGCCGGAGGGCCGACGGGAGGAGATAGCCAGATTTCCCGAAAGAGGACCTACCAACAAGCTAACACTGATCAGGTCGAACCGAGCTCTCGCCTGTCCGAGGTGATATTTTACGGCCCTAATGACCCCATTCCCGCTGCTTCTAGTAGCCATGAAACTCTGGTGATTGAGGTGCTCGCCAACAACTACATTATTAAGAAGGTATACGTCGACCCCGGGAGTTCAGTGGACGTCATGTACCTCCGGATCTTTGAAGGCCTGAAATTGACCAGGGAGCAGCTCGCCCCAGTAAGGACTCTCTTGGTAGGGTTCGGAGGACATGTAGTTCATTCTGAAGGAATAGTCACGCTGACGGTGACGGTGGGGCGTCACCCCCGTTGCCGCACCATCCCAGTCAATTTCGTCGTGGTTAAGGCAGACTCCCCTTATAACTTGCTCATGGGTCGACCCACACTCAATGCACTGCGTGTGGTATACTCTACATATCACTTGAGTTTCAAATTTTCCACCCCAGTGGGAATAGTCGAGGTAAGCAGCGATGACTGCGCGGCGCGAGAGTGCTACCCCGCCATTCTACAAGCCGCCTTAACTTCAACCTCCGAGCCGAGGTCCGAGAGAAGATCCAACATACTTTCGATTGATTGTATCGACTCCCAACAGTCACGGCCGGATCAGACGATCCGCATTGGCATCCACCTCTCCCATCCCCTTAGGGGTCAAATGGTAGACCTTCTCAGGGAGTATCGGGATGTCTTCACCTAGGTTGCCAAAGAGATTCCAGGGGTACCGCATCACCTCATGGTACACGAACTGAATGTTAACCTCCATGCGCGTCCTGTTAAACAGAAGAGAAAGCATTTCGTCCCGAAACGCAGGAAGGCCGTAAGTGGAGAAATGGACAAACTCCTACAAGCAAAAATGATCAGAGAAGTATAGTATCCGACCTGATTATCTAACCTGGTCATGGTCAAAAAGGACAAGGGGGCTTAGCGAATGTGCGTCAACTTTACCGACCTGAACAAGGCTTGCCCCAAGAACAGTTATCCATTGCCTAGAGTCGACGCGCTGGTAGACTCAGCAATGGGATACGAAATCCTCTGCTTCCTCGATGCCTTCAAGGGGTATCACCAGATCGGGATGAGCGAGGAAGATCAGGAAAAATGACTTTCTACACAGATCAAGGTGTCTATTGCTACACCACTATGCCTTTTGGGTTGAAAAACGTCGGAGCCACATATCAGCGTTTGATCAACCGGATTTTCAAGTCCCAAATCGACAGAAATGTCGACACATATGTAGACGACATCCTCCTCAAGAGCCTGAAGACCTCCACCTTTTTGGCCAACCTAAGAGAGGCCCTTGAGGTAATCCGTGCTACCCGCATGATGCTGAACCCCAAAAAATGTATTTTTGGGGTCATTTCGGGAAAGTTCTTAGGATACCTTGTTTCACAACGGGGCATAGAGGCCAATCCTGGCAAGGTCAAGGCGATCCAGGAAATATCCTCACCTCGGTGTATTCGGGACGTTTTAGACTTGCACTCACTTGACCTTTCCCCTCAATTCCCCCGTCACGTCGTCTCTGGCTAACTATCCTGACAATTCTCTCGTCAACCCTGCTCAACCTACTTGATCTGTTATTTTTCAATTAAACAAATTTCCCCTAGTTTTAGTAGCTGATTCTTTAGCTAATTTCAGTGTGATGTAGGGTAAACGGTAACTATGGAGAATAGCAACAATCATTGTCTCTCAATCACACCTTCAAGCTTAGTACTTTTATCAATTATTGGGTTTATTACCTTGATCTTGATCCGGGTTTTATACATTATACATCGGAGCAGCCAACCTCGTAGTGCCTCGTCACAGCAAAAGCCCCTCAGCACCCTCATTGTTCTGGGTTCGGGTATGCATATCCTTTATTATTTGATCTATTTTTGAGTTTTGGATTGTGGGTTTTGTTGATTTTTCCATTTTTATTAATGGGTTTGTTTATATATTTTTTGCTTGCAATGAATTTGTGATGGTAGGTGGTCATACAGCGGAGATGATTAATTTGTTGAACGTGCTTCAGAAAAATAGTTTTACGCCTAGGTATTATATTGCCGCTGCGACTGATAACATGAGCCTTCAAAAGGCACAAGTTCTTGAAAGCTCTTGGCTCAATGAGGTATTTTGTTCCGTTTTGTCCTGTTGAGTTCTTGATTACTGAATTTATCTTTATTAGTAGGACTGTATTCTGTGGACAACTAATCTAGGATGTGAATCGTTGTATTGATCTATATTAGATTGAACTATTTATTAGCCTAGAGAATTATTCTTCTATTGTTATTGACAAAAGATAATTGGATGAATCATTAATTTTACATCAGTGATCCAGTAAAGCTTATGAAAAGGAACGGATTGGACATATAAACATCTGTTTGGATCATTCATGTGATAAATGACAGCCTCTTTTCAGTATTTAACAGTTAGTCATCAGAATCAACCTCCTTACTCCAAAATCCAAGTATAAAGGTTTGGTTTCCACAAGAATTGCAACTATACATGCAGGTTGCTTTGTTTTTAAAATGATTTTCTTATAGCCTTGAAAACTCTGTTTGTCTCAAAGGTCCAAATGCACTATCTTTGTACCTGTTTCTTAGTAGTTGGGTCAAATCTATCTACATCCAGCTTTTGATATACAACACTTTCTAGTGTGCTTAGTTTAGATTCGGTAGTTATTAAGAGAAAATTACATGTTTCTGTTAATTCTTGTGTCTTCATGGGATGAAACACCCAACATATCTTCTTCATTTAATGAACGCGTTAAGTTTGTACCTGAGAGTTGGGCTACTTTTGATGGGTTCTTTTAGTTTGTTTATGTGCTATGGAGATTTCTTCCCCTACTTAGGCTGTCTAGTAGAAGAAGAACCAACGAAGGCATTCTTTAACTGCTTTCTCTTGTTTTAGGGAGGAGTTGAAGAGGTTGGATCTGCTAAATTCATGCAGATATACCGAAGCCGAGAGGTCGGTCAATCATATATAACCTCTGTTGGAACCACCTTAATCGCTTTGGCTCATGCATTGTGGCTAATGATAAAGATCAGACCTCATGTGGTATTTCATATACCTTATACACGACACTCTCTCTATAAACTACTGGTGAAGTCCTGGCTTTTTCTCCTCTTACCCTTTTGCTTTGTTGGTTCTGTTATTTGTACTCTCTGCAGATTTTGTGCAATGGACCTGAAACTTGTATACCTCTTTGCGCAATTGCTTTCATCTTCAAGGTTTTATGTCCTTCATCTGCAAGTGTCCCATACCTCAATGTTCTTTTCCAACTTCTTAATAGATCATTAGGTTCCTCTTGTTAATTTACTAGTACAACAATACAGTTATAGGTCAGTAGCTTCCTCTTGTTAATTTAATAATATGATGGCGCAGAGTTGCAAACTCAAAAGGTGGTTAAGGATTTAAGTCTCTCTATCTCTACATTTTCCACTTTAACTTTGACTGTTTTGATTGTTGATGGAGTCTGCTTTAATTATGTTCTATGTTACTTTCAGATTCTTGGAATTAGATGGTCATATATATTCTATGTTGAAAGCATTGCAAGAGTGAGGAGGCTTTCTTTAAGCGCACTCTAACGCCCCTGACCAATATTGTCCCACAGTTAACCGCCCCATTGGGCCGTGGATTTTGTTCCTGGAGGTGGGGTTATAACCCACAACAAGTGAAGAGCCCAAGCTCGCAGGTCAAGAAGCCCAGCACCCCTCCAAAAGGCCTCGGTCAGGTGGGAGAGACCACTACAGGCTATTAAAACAGCCCCAGGACTTCCTCCCTAGCCGATGTGGGATCATTACAATCCACCCCTCTTAGGGAACCCAGCGTCCTCGCTGGCACACCGGGGTCGGGAGTCGGCTCTGATACCAACTCTAACGCCCCTGACCAATATTGTCCCACAGTTAACTGCCCCATATGTATTAAACCCAGTATCCAAAACTTAACCTAGTTGGTCGAATTTTTTCGAACTTTTCGCACTAGCGGGTCCCACGTCCGGTATACACTCTTAATTTCTCAAAAACTATTCGATACTAGAAAAATCATCTAAAAACTATATTTACTCATAAAAAATATTTTCACAATTTTTCAAATCAATAAAATGTGGAAAAACGTGCAATTAAAAGAAAAATAAAACCTAGTACTTAAGAAAATTACGGGCTCTCACACTCTGTCTCGCTTAAGGAAATTTCGTCCTCGAAATTTTACTTTCAGATGGCTCAGGAGCTTGTTGGTTGTCTAATGCATAAGCCTTTGCCGATACACTTGTTCGTTTCCCTCTTTCGTTCACTTGTTTCACTTTGGCTCCATCCGGTTGCGGAGTACTACCTTCCCGTGACTGTCTCCTCGGACAGTTGCTCACTTGATGATCCCCACCTCCGCAAATCAAACATTTCCGCCCTTTTCGCCAACAATCATCCTCAGTGTGATTGGCTTTTCCACAGTAGCCACAAGTCAAGGAAGAAGCCACTCGTTGGCTTTTTTGATAATAGCCTGCTTGACTTCCTTTTGTAGATCGTTCATCCAACGCTCCTATTGTCCATGGTGGGTTGGACAAAAGGATAACCATGTATTAAATGAAGTGACAAGTGTCACTTTCTTACTCAAGGGTGGACTTTGACCATTTTACTACCTTTACTAATTGATTAAAAACTTGACCCAAAATTCATCTTCTTCACAAGCTCCTTGGCCGAACCTCTTGGAGAAAAAGAGAGAGAAAAGCTTCCAATTTCTTCCTTCTATTTCTTGCCCAATCTCACAAACCAATCGTTAAAACCGTGATTTGCTCCATAAAAACCTTTCTCTTGGTAGTATTAAGGTGTGTGGTGAAGTGGTTTGAGAAGCAAAGGTGCTAAGTTGAGTCTTTCCTTGGGTTTGCAAAGTAAGTGACTAAGGAACCTTTCCTTTGATCTTGATAATGTTCAATTAGTGATTGGTGGTGGTTGAATAAGTGATTCTATGGTTAATTTCCTGATTTTGGTTGAAATTGGTGAAGCTTTATATTTAATTGGGGTTTTGCTGTTTTCATATAATTGTTATGGTGTGGCTATGTATGATGATTGGAAATGATCTAGAATGAAGTTAGGAGGTGTAAATGGTGGTTAATTGCAAGCAATTTCTGTTTTGGAAAGAAATTAGAAAGTTAGGGTTTCTTTGTTCTTCATTCTGTCCGGTTTTATTGAACCATGTTAGAGGCCGAATTGGCCTTGGTTTAAAACATGAAAGTTGTAGGGAATGACATTTTAGAGGTGTCTACAAAATTTCAGGTCAATCGGAGTAGCGTAGCTTGTGAAAAGTCAAAATTACCCTTACTGTCCTGGTTTACCCAGCATTGGAAATTTGCGTCTGTAATTGGTTGATTTGGTTAGGAATGCATCCGAATTGGTTGTTCAGGTCTTCTGATGAAATGTAACCCTGTTTCTAAGCTTTCCAGTGGCTTTGGAATTTCAGGATTTGGACTTCGGTACCCTGATTTATGATGTTTACGCCGGAATGCGTTTTGTAAACCTGTTTTTACGATTCTGGTATAGTCTGTGGTATTTTTGACCTTGTTATACTCGAAACTGTGCTGAGTGACCTTCTTCAATGTTGTAGCCCTGTCTTTTAGTTTCGAAACGGTGGGTCTTGTACCCTCATCCGATATTTGTAGTGAAATTGGTATCAAAACCGCAATATGACGTCAAACACTGTTTTTTTTTCAGGGTTAAAGCTAAATCTTTTCCGGATTTTTCTGGTTTCCTCTAATGCTTATATATGCTTATGGAACCCTATTTTGGTAGTATGTGGAATTGGTTTATGACTTACAATCGAGTCTTATTGTGCTTATTTGAATATTTTAGAGCTTAACTTTCATTTCCGGACTTTTCCTTAGTTTGAATTATACTTGTGCTACTTGGAGCTTACTGAACGGCTATTGAACTTAGATTGTTGCGTGTGTACCCTTGGGTTTGAATGAGGAAAATAATGAAGCCATAAATAGCTGGAAAATAGGTAAATACAAAGGGCGTGCTGCCCAAATTTTGGCTCGAGGGCTAAGTGTCGATTTGAACTTGTATATTTTTCGTTTGACAAATACCATGACCGGGTTTCCATCTTAAAATATGATTTCTTTTCCATTTGACCTTCAAATGTTTATTTACTACTTCATACCAAAATTTAGAGGTATGACCTAAGGTTTTCTCAGTCAAGACATGTAGGCCATAATACCTACTTGAATGTATATTGATTTTGAACCACATAAATGATTCCGAAAACAATATTTCTCGCCTATCTCATTGGATGCCGACTTGTCTTTGGTCCAAATGTTTTTGCCGGAAAATTTTATAACCCTTTTTGTTTGGTTTTGCGTTTGGGTTTATGAAACCCTAGATATTTCCGTCCATCAGTCTAAATGCCCCGTTTTGCTTTAAAGTCATTTTATTGCGTTTTACTCATCAGTTATTGGGTTTCTTCGATTTCCCCTAATTGGTTGTGCTATATTCTTTCTTGTTGAATTTTAGGTTTTCTTGGTGATTAAAGATACTATCCAGAAGGATAATTTTGCACGTTAGGTTTTCTTGGTGAGTGTTCCTTGTTTGTTATATTTCCTTGACCTTTTAGCTTATTGATTATTGATTGATAACATGTTAAATGCTTTCAATGATTGTTAAAGCGAGTTTTGAGGCGAGTGTGTACTTTATCGCACTCAGCCTAAATGGTTGTGAAATTTTAATGAATGAACGATTAAAATGCTAGTTGTGCATGAATGTAAGCCTTTTGACTGAACTGGCCACTGCCCCTTGTTACCGGTCGTCTCGAGTCAGAAGTGGACTCGGTCGGACGATTAGGGACTTGGGTGAACGTTTCGGTATACTCGAGTATTACCTTGTAGGTTGGTGGAGCCTGGCCAATTTCCAAGAGGGGGTGAATGAAATGAATGAACGAATGAATGATTGGGGGTTTTACTTACAAAAATGCAAATTTTAAATGATCGGAGGAATAAGGGAATGAAAGGAGAATGAATGAACGAACGAATGAATGAATGGCTCCTTATGAGCTCGTATCCTTTTATTGAATGTGTTTATCGCTTTATCTTATATTTATATCTTGAATTTATTGGACTACACCAGGAGACCTTAAGTGTGGATGAATACGAAACAAAATTTACCAAACTATCCAAGTTTGCTTCCGAATTAGTAGCCACGGAACCAAGAAGAGTAAGGCGGTTCATACAGGGATTGAACTTGGACATCCAGGAGGCGTTAGCGGCGGCGCAAGTGAATACCTTTACGGAGGCTTTGGAGAAAGCCCAACGAATTGAGAATGCCAAAACACAGATAAAGGCCTCTCAAAATCGAAAAAGGAGTACACCTGGTAGTGTGACTGGGGAACCAAATGAATCGATAGTCCCTGCCAAAATGCAGAAAGTGAACCTTTTGTCCCACCACCAGGAACAAAATCCACGGCCCAGTGGGGCGGTTAACTGTGGAACAATATTGGTCAAGGGCGTTAGAGTTGGTATCAGAGCCGACTCCCGACCCCGGTGTGCCAGCGAGGACGCTGGGTTCCCTAAGGGGGGTGGATTGTAATGATCCCACATCGGCTAGGGAGGAAGTTCTAGGACTGCTTTAATAGCCTGTAGTGGTCTCTCCCACCTGACCGAGGCCTTTTCGAGGGGTGCTGGGTTTCTTGACCTGCGGACTTGGACTCTTCACTTGTTGTGGGCTATAACCCCACCTCCAGGAACAAAATCCATGGCCCAGTGGGGCGGTTAACTGTGGGACAATATTGGTCAGGGGCGTTAAAGTTGGTATCAGAGCCGACTCCCGACCCTGGTGTGCCAGCGAGGACGCTGGGTTCCCTAAGGGGGGTGGATTGTAATGATCCCACATCGGCTAGGGAGGAAGTCCTGGGGCTGCTTTAATAGCCTGTAGTGGTCTCTCCCACCTGACCGAGGCCTTTTGGAGGGGTGCTGGGTTTCTTGACCTGCGGGTTTGGGCTCTTCATTTGTTGTGGGCTATAACCCCACCTCCAGGAACAAAATCCACGGCCCAATGGGGCGGTTAACTGTGGGACAATATTGGTCAGGGGCGTGATCCCTTTTAGCTCATCCCTTTAGTTTTGTTTTCCTTAGCAGGGGAAGGCGAGCAAGGACGAGAGCTCTGTATAGACTAGCTGGTCTAGCTTTTGATTTTTGTAATGGTTCTCGCACTAGTGCTTGGCACGGGCTGGTTGTATGGTGAATTTGGAACCTTTGTATATTCGACGGTTGTACTTCCTTTTGAGATCGTAAGGTATATAAGTTTCGTTTAAGTTTTTGGATCATTGCTATGTTTTTCGTATGGGCTTGATCTGGTTTTTGCTCGAGGATGGAAGTGATCGACTGAGTCCCGGCGAGAGTTGGGCAGGCGGTCCGCCGAACCCTTTGGTTCGCCTTAGGGGGAGGTGGGGTTGTCACACGCACTGTTTCTTTACAAACTACGCATGGCTGGTCAGTTATTTGTGCAGTGGCCCCAACTAAAATCAAAATATCATCGAGCTCATTATGTTGGGCGTCTTATGTAACTCATTCATTTTTTGCAGCTGTTCAAAGGTACTTCAATGTATAAATTTCAAGTTATTGTCATATATGTGTGGTTTATAGTAGCCCTTCTGACAGGTGTCTCTTTAATTTTATGAAACCATGGTTGTCTTTGGGTGCAATCTATGAAAATTAGTCAGCATTGGCTAATTATTTAGAAATGCTTTCACACCACAAAGGAATAGCATGTTAACATTAGCGTAGAAATTAAGTTCTATCTCAAAGCACATTTTACTATGTGATTATTGCATGGAGAGGCTTGTCTACGAGGCTTGATTAGATACTATCCAGATTCTAACTCACCACCCAACAGAAAGAATGACAAACTGCACAGTTTTATATTTGATGGTTCTGACGTTGTAGCATCGAGACATAATGTATATAGACTGGAAAATTGTTAAACTAATTCTGAATGATGCTTTATAAAACTGGCCCTGTAATTATATATCCTATACTCTGCCGGTTAGTCAGAGTGAAACTGCCTTTTTGACTAATTTCATTTCCATTTTTGGTAGAACATGACTAGTGTCTTGATTAAATCTTCTTAACTTATTTTAGGACTTAATGCTTGAACAAAGCCAAGTTTTCCTGGTCACAAGCACAATAAATTGATGAAAAAGTTGCATAAAATGGTCCATTATCAGTTACAATGAATCTAATGCGATTTTTTTGCCTCTTTTAAAATTTTTCCGGGTTCGGGGGGTTTTTTTTTTTTTTTGGGGAGGGGGGTTGTTAATTTGACGTTTAAGTTCAAACTTTTTCTGATTTGATGAGATATCCTGAATGGATCTCTCCTTTCCTTTTTGTTTACACCATATCCTTTTCCATCTTGTTATTTAATTTCTTTCTAGGACACACTTGTTCTGGAATTCATCAGCAAATTGATAAGAATGCTCATCACTAGTGGTCTAATGCATTTCTTTTTTCTGAAATTCGGTTTCATGAAACTTGGGCTATGACTTGTGCGCCAATCATCTGGGAGGATGACTTGACTTACTGTGTATTTGATGGAGATGGTTCTATGATAAAATGTACAATTTGCAGGGAGAAAAAAATTAGCTCAGTTTTAGCTGTTCCTTGTACTCAACGGTGAATATTACTTAATGTGGCAGGGGAAGTTGACAGCAACTACCTTGGGGTTCCATCAACGGACAGCAAGTACACTGACGCATACTTTTTAGCCCTTAGTTCTTCTTTCTACAACCGCTTTATATACCAAAACATCTTAATTTGGTATAACATTGTAAGAGATGAAGGAAAAGGCAATGTGAGCATGGAAAATAGAAATAGGTTGTAAAACTGGGGATATTCCTCTGACGCACAGGACGCCTGACAGAAAGCTGCTCCAACACAGGCGCCGCCTGACTCTGACAACTGCCCTTACACGCCTTTTCAGGGACCAGTCAAATCATCTTGATACATCCTCCTCAAGAGCTTGAAGACCTCCACCTTTTTGGCCAACCTAAGAGAGGCCCTTGAGGTAATCCGTGCTACCCGCATGATGCTGAACCCCAAAAAATGTATTTTTGGGGTCATTTCGGGAAAGTTCTTAGGATACCTTGTTTCACAACGGGGCATAGAGGCCAATCCTGGCAAGGTCAAGGCGATCCAAGAAATATCCTCACCTTGGTGTATTCGGGACGTTTTAGACTTGCACTCACTTGACCTTTCCCCTCAATTCCCCCGTCACGTCGTCTCTGGCTAACTATCCTGACAATTCTCTCGTCAACCCTGCTCAACCTACTTGATCTGTTATTTTTCAATTAAACAAATTTCCCCTAGTTTTAGTAGCTGATTCTTTAGCTAATTTCAGTGTGATGTAGGGTAAACGGTAACTATGGAGAATAGCAACAATTATTGTCTCTCAATCACACCTTCAAGCTTAGTACTTTTATCAATTATTGGGTTTATTACCTTGATCTTGATCCGGGTTTTATACATTATACATCGGAGCAGCCAACCTCGTAGTGCCTCGTCACAGCAAAAGCCCCTCAGCACCCTCATTGTTCTGGGTTCGGGTATGCATATCCTTTATTATTTGATCTATTTTTGAGTTTTGGATTGTGGGTTTTGTTGATTTTTCCATTTTTATTAATGGGTTTGTTTATATATTTTTTGCTTGCAATGAATTTGTGATGGTAGGTGGTCATACAGCGGAGATGATTAATTTGTTGAACGTGCTTCAGAAAAATAGTTTTACGCCTAGGTATTATATTGCCGCTGCGACTGATAACATGAGCCTTCAAAAGGCACAAGTTCTTGAAAGCTCTTGGCTCAATGAGGTATTTTGTTCCGTTTTGTCCTGTTGAGTTCTTGATTACTGAATTTATCTTTATTAGTAGGACTGTATTCTGTGGACAACTAATCTAGGATGTGAATCGTTGTATTGATCTATATTAGATTGAACTATTTATTAGCTTAGAGAATTATTCATCTATTGTTATTGACAAAAGATAATCGGATGAATCATTAATTTTACATCAGTGATCCAGTAAAGCTTATGAAAAGGAACGGATTGGACATATAAACATCTGTTTGGATCATTCATGTGATAAATGACAGCCTCTTTTCAGTATTTAACAGTTAGTCATCAGAATCAACCTCCTTACTCCAAAATCCAAGTATAAAGGTTTGGTTTCCACAAGAATTGCAACTATACATGCAGGTTGCTTTGTTTTTAAAATGATTTTCTTATAACCTTGAAAACTCTGTTTGTCTCAAAGGTCCAAATGCACTATCTTTGTTCCTGTTTCTTAGTAGTTGGGTCAAATCTATCTACATCCAACTTTTGATATACGACACTTTCTAGTGTGCTTAGTTTAGATTCGGTAGTTAATAAGAGAAAATTACATGTTTCTGTTAATTCTTGTGTCTTCATGGGATGAAACACCCAACATATCTTCTTCATTTAATGAACGCATTAAGTTTGTACGTGAGAGTTGGGCTACTTTTGATGGGTTCTTTTAGTTTGTTTATGTGCTATGGAGATTTCTTCCCCTACTTAGGCTGTCTAGTAGAAGAAGAACCAATGAAGGTATTCTTTAACTGCTTTCTCTTGTTTTAGGGAGGAGTTGAAGAGGTTGGATCTGCTAAATTCATGCAGATATACCGAAGTCGAGACGTCGGTCAATCATATATAACCTCTGTTGGAACCACCTTAATCGCTTTGGCTCATGCATTGTGGCTAATGATAAAGATTAGACCTCATGTGGTATTTCATATACCTTATACACGACACTCTCTCTATAAACTACTGGTGAAGTCCTGGCTTTTTCTCCTCTTACCCTTTTGCTTTGTTGGTTCTGTTATTTGTACTCTCTGCAGATTTTGTGCAATGGACCTGGAACTTGTATACCTCTTTGCGCAATTGCTTTCATCTTCAAGGTTTTATGTCCTTCATCTGCAAGTGTCCCATACCTCAATGTTCTTTTCCAACTTCTTAATAGATCATTAGGTTCCTCTTGTTAATTTACTAGTACAACAATACAGTTATAGGTCAGTAGCTTCCTCTTGTTAATTTAATAATATGATGGCGCAGAGTTGCAAACTCAGAAGGTGGTTAAGGATTTAAGTCTCTCTATCTCTACATTTTCCACTTTAACTTTGACTGTTTTGATTGTTGATGGAGTCTGCTTTAATTATGTTCTATGTTACTTTCAGATTCTTGGAATTAGATGGTCATATATATTCTATGTTGAAAGCATTGCAAGAGTGAGGAGGCTTTCTTTAAGCGCACTCTAACGCCCCTGACCAATATTGTCCTACAGTTAACCGCCCCATTGGGCCGTGGATTTTGTTCCTGGAGGTGGGGTTATAGCCCACAACAAGTGAAGAGCCCAAGCTCGCAGGTCAAGAAGCCCAGCACCCCTCCAAAAGGCTTCGGTCAGGTGGGAGAGACCACTACAGGCTATTAAAACAGCCCCAGGACTTCCTCCCTAGCCGATGTGGGATCATTACAATCCACCCCTCTTAGGGAACCCAGCGTCCTCGCTGGCACACCGGGGTCGGGAGTCGGCTCTGATACCAACTCTAACGCCCCTGACCAATATTGTCCCACAGTTAACTGCCCCATATGTATTAAACCCAGTATCCAAAACTTAACCTAGTTAGCCGAATTTTTTCGAACTTTTCGCACTAGCGGGTCACACGTCCGGTATACACTCTTAATTTCTCAAAAACTATTCGATACTAGAAAAATCATCTAAAAACTATATTTACTCATAAAAAATATTTTCACAATTTTTCAAATCTATAAAATGTGGAAAAACGTGCAATTAAAAGAAAAATAAAACCTAGTACTTAAGAAAATTACGGGCTCTCATACTCTGTCTCCCTTAAGGAAATTTCGTCCTCGAAATTTTACTTTCAGATGGCTCAGGAGCTTGTTGGTTGTCTAATGCATAAGCCTTTGCCGATACACTTGTTCGTTTCCCTCTTTCGTTCACTTGTTTCACTTTGGCTCCATCCGGTTGCGGAGTACTACCTTCCCGTGACTGTCTCCTCGGACAGTTGCTCACTTGATGATCCCCACCTCCGCAAATCAAACATTTCCGCCCTTTTCGCCAACAATCATCCTCAGTGTGATTGGCTTTTCCACAGTAGCCACAAGTCAAGGAAGAAGCCACTCGTTGGCTTTTTTGATAATAGCCTGCTTGACTTCCTTTTGTAGATCGTTCATCCAACGCTCCTATTGTCCATGGTTTGTGGGACAAAAGGATAACCATGTATTAAATGAAATGACAAGTGTCACTTTCTTACTCAAGGGTGGACTTTGACCATTTTACTACCTTTACTAATTGATTAAAAACTTGACCCAAAATTCATCTTCTTCACAAGCTCCTTGGCCGAACCTCTTGGAGAAAAAGAGAGAGAAAAGCTTCCAATTTCTTCCTTCTATTTCTTGCCCAATCTCACAAACCAACCGTTAAAACCGTGATTTGCTCCATAAAAACCTTTCTCTTGGTAGTATTAAGGTATGTGGTGAAGTGGTTTGAGAAGCAAAGGTGCTAAGTTGGGTCTTTCCTTGGGTTTGCAAAGTAAGTGACTAAGGAACCTTTCCTTTGATCTTGATAATGTTCAATTAGTGATTGGTAGTGGTTGAATAAGTGATTCTATGGTTGATTTCCTGATTTTGGTTGAAATTGGTGAAGTTTTATATTTAATTGGGATTTTGCTGTTTTCATATAATTGTTATGGTGTGGCTATGTATGATGATTGGAAATGATCTAGAATGAAGCTAGGAGGTGTAAATGGTGGTTAATTGCAAGCAATTTCTGTTTTGGAAAGAAATTAGAAAGTTAGGGTTTCTTTGTTCTTCATTCTGTCCGGTTTTATTGAACCATGTTAGAGGCCGAATTGGCCTTGGTTTAAAACATAAAAGTTGTAGGGAATGACATTTTAGAGGTGCCTGCAAAATTTCAGGTCAATCGGAGTAGCGTAACTTATGAAAAGTCGAAATTACCCTTGCTATCCTGGTTTACCCAAAATTGGAAATTTGCGTCTGTAATTGGTTGATTTGGTTAGGAATGCATCCGAATTGGTTGTTCAGGTCTTCTGATGAAATGTAGCCCTGTTTCTAAGCTTTCGAGTGGCTTTGGAATTTCTGGATTTGGACTTCGGTAGCCTGATTTATGATGTTTACGCCGGAATGCGCTTTGTAAACCTGTTTTTGCGATTCTGGTATAGTCTGTGGTATTTTTGACCTTGTTACACTCAAAACTGGGCTGAGTGACCTTCTTCAATGTTGTAGCCCTGTCTTTTAGCTTCGAAACAGTGGGTCTTGTACCCTCATCCGATAATTGTAGTGAAATTGGTATCAAAACCGCAATATGACGTCAAACACTATTTTTTTTCAGGGTTAAAGCTAAATCTTTTCCGGATTTTTCTGGTTTCCTCTAATGCTTATATATGCTTATGGAACCCTATTTTGGTAGTATGTGGAATTGGTTTATGACTTACAATCGAGTCTTATTGTGCTTATTTGAATATTTTAGAGCTTAACTTTCATTTCCGGACTTTTCCTTAGTTTGAATTGTACTTGTGCTACTTGGAGCTTACTGAACGGCTATTGAACTTAGATTGTTGTGTGTGTACCCTTGGGTTTGAATGAGGAAAATAATGAAGCCATAAATGGCTGGAAAATAGGTAAATACAAAGGGCGTGCTGCCCAAATTTTGACTCGAGGGCTAAGTGTCGATTTGAACTTGTATATTTTTCGTTTGACAAATACCATGCCCGGGTTTCCATCTTAAACTATGATTTCTTTTCCATTTGACCTTCAAATGTTTATTTACTACTTCATACCAAAATTTGGAGGTATGATCTAAGGTTTTCTCAGTCAAGACATGTAGGCCATAATACCTACTTGAATGTATATTGATTTTGAACCACATAAATGATTCCGAAAACAATATTTCTCGCCTATCTCATTGGATGCCGACTTGTCTTTGGTCCAAATGTTTTTGCCGAAAAATTTTATAACCCTTTTTGTTTGGTTTTGCGTTTGGATTTATGAAACCCTAGATATTTCCGTCCATCAGTCTAAATGCCCCGTTTTGCTTTAAAGTCATTTTATTGCGTTTTACTCATCAGTTATTGGGTTTCTTCGATTTCCCCTAATTGGTTGTGCTATATTCTTTCTTGTTGAATTTTAGGTTTTCTTGGTGATTAAGGATACTATCCAGAAGGATAATTTTGCACGTTAGGTTTTCTTGGTGAGTGTTCCTTGTTTGTTATATTTCCTTGACTTATTAGCTGATTGATTATTGATTGATAACATGTTAAATGCTTTCAATGATTGTTAAAGCGAGTTTTGAGGCGAGTGTGTACTTTATCGCACTCAGCCTAAATGGTTGTGAAATTTTAGTGAATGAACGATTGAAATGCTAGTTGTGCATGTAATCCTTTTGGCTGAACTGGCCACTGCCCCTTGTTACCGGTCGTCTCGAGCCAGAAGCGGACTCGGTCGGGCGATTAGGGACCTGGGTGAACGTTTCGGTATACTCGAGTATTACCTTGTAGGTTGGTGGAGTCTGGCCAATTTCCAGGAGGGGGTGAATGAAATGAATGAACGAATGAATGATTGGAGGTTTTACTTACAAAAATGCAAATTTTAAATGATCGGAGGAATAAGGGAATGAAAGGAGAATGAATGAACGAACGAATGAATGAATGGCTCCTTGTGAGCTCGTATCCTTTTATTGAATGTGTTTATCGCTTTATCTTATATTTGTATCTTGAATTTATTGGACTACACCAGGAGACCTTAAGTGTGGATGAATACGAAACAAAATTTACCAAACTATCCAAGTTTGCTTCCGAATTAGTAGCCACGGAACCAAGAAGAGTAAGGCGGTTCATACAGGGATTGAACTTGGACATCCAGGAGGCGTTAGCGGCGGCGCAAGTGAATACCTTTACGGAGGCTCTGGAGAAAGCCCAACGAATTGAGAATGCCAAAGCACAGATAAAGGCCTCTCAAAATCGAAAAAGGGGTACACCAGGTAGTGTGACTGGGGAACCAAGTGAATCGATAGTCCCTGCCAAAGTGCAGAAAGTGAACCTTTTATCCCACCTCCAGGAACAAAATTCACGGCCCAGTGGGGCGGTTAACTGTGGAACAATATTGGTCAGGGGCGTTAGAGTTGGTATCAGAGCCAACTCCCGACCCCGGTGTGCCAGCGAGGACGCTGGGTTCCCTAAGGGGGGTGGATTGTAATGATCCCACATCGGCTAGGGAGGAAGTCCTGGGGCTGCTTTAATAGCCTGTAGTGGTCTCTCCCACCTGACCGAGGCCTTTTGGAGGGGTGCTAGGCTTCTTGACCTGCGGGTTTGGCCTCTTCACTTGTTGTAGGCTATAACCCCACCTCCAGGAACAAAATTCACGGCCCAGTGGGGCGGTTAACTATGGGACAATATTGGTCAGGGGCGTTAGAGTTGGTATCAGAGCCGACTCCCGACCCCGGTGTGCCAGCGAGGACGCTGGGTTCCCTAAGGGGGGTGGATTGTAATGATCCCACATCGGCTAGGGAGGACTTCCTGGGGCTGCTTTAATAGCCTGTAGTGGTCTCTCCCACCTGACCGAGGCCTTTTGGAGAGGTGCTGGGCTTCTTGACCTGCGGGTTTGGGCTCTTCACTTGTTGTGGGTTATAACCCCACCTCCAGGAACAAAATTCACGGCCCAGTGGGGCGGTTAACTGTGGGACAATATTGGTCAGGGGCGTTAGAGTTGGTATCAGAGCCGACTCCCGACCCCGATGTGCCAGCGAGGACGCTGGGTTCCCTAAGGGGGGTGGATTGTAATGATCCCACATCGGCTAGGGAGGAAGTCCTGGGGCTGTTTTAATAGCCTGTAGTGGTCTCTCCCACCTGACCGAGGCCTTTTGGAGGGGTGCTGGATTTCTTGACCTGCGGGATTGGGCTCTTCATTTGTTGTGGGCTATAACCCCACCTCCAGGAACAAAATTCACTGCCCAATGGGGCGGTTAACTGTGGGACAATATTGGTCAGGGGCGTGATCCCTTTTAGCTCATCCCTTTAGTTTTGTTTTCCTTAGCAGGGGAAGGCGAGCAAGGACGAGAGCTCTGTATAGACTAGCTGGTCTAACTTTTGATTTTTGTAATGGTTCTCGCCCTAGTGCTTGGCACGGGCTGGTTGTATAGTGAACTTGGAACCTTTGTATATTCGACGGTTGTACTTCCTTTTGAGATCGTAATGTATATAAGTTTCGTTTAAGTTTTTGGATCATTGCTATGTTTTTCGTATGGGCTTGATCTGGTTTTTACTCGAGGATGGAAGTGATCGACTGAGTCCCGGCGAGAATTGGGCAGGCGGTCCGCCGAACCCTTTGGTTCGCCTTAGGGGGAGGTGGGGTCGTCACACGCACTGCTTCTTTACAAACTACGCATGGCTGGTCAGTTATTTGTGCAGTGGCCACAACTAAAATCAAAATATCATCGAGCTCATTATGTTGGGCGTCTTATGTAACTCATTCATTTTTTGCAGCTGTTCAAAGGTACTTCAATGTATAAATTTCAAGTTATTGTCATATATGTGTGGTTTATAGTAGCTCTTCTGACAGGTGTCTCTTTAATTTTATGAAACCATGGTTGTCTTTGGGTACAATCTATGAAAATTAGTCAGCATTGGCTAATTATTTAGAAATGCTTTCACACCACAAAGGAATAGCATGTTAACATTAGCGTAGAAATTAAGTTCTATCTCAAAGCACATTTTACTATGTGATTATTGCATGGAGAGGCTTGTCTACGAGGCTTGATTAGATACTATCCAGATTCTAACTCACCACCCAACAGAAAGAATGACAAACTGCACAGTTTTATATTTGATGGTTCTGACGTTGTAGCATCGAGACATAATGTATATAGACTGGAAAATTGTTAAACTAATTCTGAATGATGCTTTATAAAACTGGCCCTGTAATTATATATCCTATACTCTGCCGGTTAGTTAGAGCGAAACTGCCTTTTTGACTAATTTCATTTCCATTTTTGGTAGAACATGACTAGTGTCTTGATTAAATCTTCTTAACTTATTTTAGGACTTAATGCTTGAACAAAGCCAAGTTTTCCTGGTCACAAGCACAATAAATTGATGAAAAAGTTGCATAAAATGGTCCATTATCAGTTATAATGAGTCTAATGCGATTTTTTTGCCTCTTTTAAAATTTTTTCGGGTTCGGGGGGTTTTTTTTTTTTTTGGGGGAGGGGGGTTGTTAATTTGACGTTTAAGTTCAAACTTTTTCTGATTTGATGAGATATCCTGAATGGATCTCTCCTTTCCTTTTTGTTTACACCATATCCTTTTCCATCTTGTTATTTAATTTCTTTCTGGGACACACTTGTTCTGGAATTCATCAGCAAATTGATAAGAATGCTCATCACTAGTGGTCTAATGCATTTCTTTTTTCTGAAATTCGGTTTCATGAAACTTGGGCTATGACTTGTGCGCCAATCATCTGGGAGGATGACTTGACTTACTGTGTATTTGATGGAGGTGGTTCTATGATAAAATGTACAATTTGCAGGGAGAAAAAAATTAGCTCAGTTTTAGCTGTTCCTTGTACTCAACGGTGAATATTACTTAATGTGGCAGGGGAAGTTGACAGCAACTACCTTGGGGTTCCATCAACGGACAGCAAGTACACTGACGCATACTTTTTAGCCCTTAGTTCTTCTTTCTACAACCGCTTTATATACCAAAACGTCTTAATTTGGTATAACATTGTAAGAGATGAAGGAAAAGGCAATGTGAGCATGGAAAATAGAAATAGGTTGTAAAACTGGTGATTTTTCGAGAAGAAGGGGGCCATTTGTGCTGATTATAGTGCGGTAAAAATTTTATTTGACACAGCTACTGACTCTTCTTTCATCAGTTATTTGTTGAATTTGATGCTCAGGAGATTTAAAGGATTTATAATAGAACTTTGACACGCAGCATATATCATTTTCAGTATTGAAAGGGTAGCAGAGAATGTTGATTAATTTTTGTGTTGCTGTAAAATATTTATAGAACTGAAAACAGTAAAAATCTTGTAGTGGTGGAGCTCAAAACTTTTGTCATCAAGGTGCTAGTTAAATTCAAGGCATTGGGATGTCTTATGCTTCTTCCTACATTTACTCTTCAGGAGAATGTTAAATGCTTAAGGTGGTACAAGACAAGGCATGGTGCCCTGAACTAGATTAATGGGCGGTGATGTGATTAATTAGTGATGCACAGCAGATAGTTGGGTTGGGTTATGCCCAAGAGTATGCTATAAGGAGATGACAGAATATAGGAGGATAAGTGGATTAGGGACTCATGGGCATTTTGAAAATTTGACTAGAATTTTGATTCATTACTCCAACTTAATTGGTTAAGATCTATGATTATTCAAAAGAGGTTCTTTGATAAATGTTTGGGACTATCATTTGGACGTACCTGTAATTTTTCCAAACCCTAAGGAAGTAGACATCAGGAACTCAAATTGCATAAGGTACTTGGGAACTTTTAAACATGTATGTAAATAATCTAATTAGCATTCCTCAGATGTAAATGGGATACTTGATAAACGCTCTGTTATTCTAATTTCTAAGTGATTTGGTCAAATTATAAGTCCATTTGATGATTTTGCCAAATTTTAGGGAAGGTAAATGTCATTTAACTCAATTATTAAAGGTAAAGTCAAGAGGAGGTCCTCTAAGTGACAAAATATTAAGTGCTAACTTTGCTATAATATGGATATATGCCTTGCTCTCTTTTGGTGTAGATTTTGTAAATGTCAATTTTGGAAAGTAATTACATACAATAATCAGCTCTCTGAAAAAGTTACTCTTTTATAGATTTTGGATTTTACATGTAAGGATCGAAGACAACCTAAGAGGGGGGGTGAATTAGGCTTTCAAAGACCTGCTAATAAATATTCAACCTTTTTGAACAGACAGCCTTTCTTTTTCAAAATGCCTCCCAATGAACAAGATAATATAGTAGCTCAGGTATTAGTGAGATGGAGAGAAGAGCAGTTTATATAGAAAAGCAGTAAATGAGAGTAAAGAACCAAACCAAGCTTCAAACACAATTGAGGTTTGAACACCTCTATTATATACCAAGTTACTTCAAGTTGAATAGACTTGCAACCAATCTTATGTGTACAAGGAAGGGATCACTTCCTTCTTGCCCCAAAACTCACTTGGTCAAGCAAGGAAGTTTTACAAACACTCGCAAACCCTCACTATGCTACACTATTGAAGAAGCTATGTCACACTTGAAAAACAGCTACATGAAGATTGCACATGCAAGGAATACAAATGTTTCTTTTGAGTATTCTAGCACTTGAATCACTCACAATCTGATGTAGGCTTGATGTACAAAGTTGTTTTGAGGTGGTTGACTTTGTTCCTTTTATAGGAGACCAGAGAATTCCTCAATTAATGCTGTCAACGGGTAGAAGGCAGCTGAAGAGTCAACTAGCCGTTGGTACTGTCGGACGTCCGATGTTAGGTGTTTATGCGTCCGAAGGTAGGATGAATATTTGGAAATTTCTTCTTCACTTTCTTCGGAATGGCCGATGAGTCCAGAATGTTGCGTCCGAAGAGCAGCAACACTTGTCGGACGTCCGATACACAGGTGTTGAGCGTCCGAATCCTGATCAGTTGAACGAGTAACTTCTGGCTTGTCTTCTTCGGACGTCCGAGTCTGAGTTCTTTATTCGTCCGAAGGAACTCAAAGAATGTCGGACGTCCGATCCTCTCCTTTTGTGCGTCCGACATTATCCACAGCAGACTTCATTCTTTTTGTTCTTCTTCTTTTTCTGCTTTAAATCCACAGACCTGTTTGATTCATTTCTGAAAAGGATCTCTACAAAAAGTGTTAGAAACATCCAATTGTTTTGTAATCATCAAAAGATATGAATTGAGATAAACAATCTCCCCCTTTTTGATGATGACAAAACAATTGGATGGAGCACAAACTGTACCAGCTCCCCCTGACAAAGTGCATGAGTATTATATTACTCCCCCTGACTAGATACTCTATACCATCAGTTTTAAACCCCATCCAATTCCAATTCTCCCCCTTTTTGTCATCACAACCAGGCAGAAGTAATATCAGTAATCACAGTTTGGAATTAATCATTGAGCAGATATCAATCAGAAACATTCATTCAACCAGCAGATTGCACACATACATAACCAATCATATCATTCAAGAAAGAAAAACATCCATAACACAATACTTAGTTAAAGCATTCATAAACAGTAAAGAAAATATCCAGTTTTACAGACCATGTGTCCAGCACTTAAAACAAAAGATAAACTCTAGTCCTAGATTTAGGTGCAGTGACCTAGAAGTGCCTAGATAGTGATTTTAGATGATCCAGGCCTCCTCCTGGTCAGACAATACTGTTCAGGGTCCTCCTCTTCCTCAGTTTCTTCATCATCTTCAACTTCTTCCTCAGTTATTGGAGCCTTGCCTTTATCCTTGGGTTGAGAACTGGAAGCTGGAGTAGTCTCATCACCAGTGGTTGGCCTTGTGGGCTCAGATCTTGGTTCTTTCGGATGAGCAGCTTCATTTGTTTCAGGTATAGGGGGCACAAGAAGATTCCTTTTTTCAAGAAAGGAGGATTGTTGGGCAGAGGTCATGGTCATCATGAGACCATCTTCAAGAAGCATAACATGCTGTTTGAGGTCTTCAAGCAGGGAGATGACCTCAGAATTGGAAGAGAAGGACTTACGGCAGACTTTCTGGGATGAATGGTGAAAGGAGATATATACCCTGACTGATCATGGGGAGTTCTATGAGTGACAGGGGTTTCATGCAAATTTTTTCTTCTAGACTCGGCTACAGTCTCCTTGTAGCACCAATGACCCTCAAAAAATTTTAGATTCTTTCTTTCAAAGTAAGTTTTGGAGAAAACTGAAGAGGCACTTTCTTTTGGAGATTTGCCAGAAAAGGGTATGTCAAAATGTGCAAAAATGGGGGTCAGAAATCTGCCATAGGAAAGTTTCCTACGACTATCAGTGCTGATTTTGAGCAGAAATTTGCACATTACAAATCCAAAGTCAATGCGAATTTTTTCAACAAAGCAGTAGAAAAGATAGAGTTCCATTTTATTTGCATCTGTTCTGTGGCCATCAGTTGGCACCAACAGATTCGAGATGATAGTGAAGATGATCAGATTCTGAGGACTGAGATCATCCAATCTTGCCTCAGCAGGGGTGTTGAATTTGGATTGAAAATAAGTCATGAGTTTAGCATTGTAAAAGTGATGATAGGCAGAAGGAAATTCCTCATATGAAAAGAAATTTGCAATTTTTCCCTTAAAACCAGGTTCAATATTAGTTTTCAGAATTGAATTCACAATGTCAGGAGTTAATATGATGTCCACAGAATTGACCCTAGAGATGAGTTCAGTGTGTGATGTACCCTTTCTAAGATTAGCAAAAAATTGGTACAGCATGTCAGGATAGAAAACATTAGGAATGGTCAAGAGATGAGTCCATTTCTGGAATTCAAAGAGTTTGATGACAGGTTCAAGATCAAGCTTACGAAATTCAAAAGGGATGATGAGCCTTTGGGTGATGAAACCTTTTTGAGATACTAACTCAAATCTGTCTCTGGCTTCATCATCGATGAACTTGGGTAGAGGAATGGGTTCAGGTGCAGGCTGAGATGCTGGATTCTTCCCAGAACGTGTCCCTTTAGAGGTTTGAGTGCCAGATGCACCAGCATTTTGAGTCTCAGTCCTTGTCCTTGGAGACTTCCGGATGGAGGGTTCAGGTGTTGGCTGACTCTCAGTGATGTTTTCTTCATTCTGCTGATCAACAGAGGGATCAGCAGATTGCTTTTTCTTGGATTGGGGAGTTCTCTTTCCCTTTGCAGTCCTTTTTCTTTTACTGGAAGACCTTGTGACAGTTTCTTCACCTTGGGTGGCCTGCTCTGGTTCCTCATTTCCACCAGCAATGTTCCCTTCAGAGATCTGCCTTTCCATTTGTTCATCAGATGGTTCAGGAGATGGAATGACTAATTTTCTTTGGGCACTCTCCTTCACTATGCCCCTACGAGTCACTTTCTTTCTTTTTGAAGCCACAGGAGGTGGATCAACAATTTCAATATCTTCATCCCTCAGTTTAAAAGACCGTCCGGCACTAGTAAATCCTCCCCTCATCCTAATCATGATGCAATGTGGATGTGATTTTTAATGCAGAGTGTTGTGTACAGAAGGAAAGAACAGTGAGAGTTAACAAGAGTGCACTATGATGCCGCAGGGAGAGGGTTATATGAGGTTAGGGTTTCGTATGTAAATTGGGAATTTTGGGGCAGTTGGGTGTTAGAAATGCCTTTTATGAGTGGTTAAAGAGCAATGGAGGTGTAATTGAGTTGGTTGAGTCAATTTCTCGAAACTTGGTTTGAGGAGAGAGGAATTTGAATTTCAAATTTTAGAGAAACTGAAAGGTCGCGTCCGAGACTGATGAAGGAAAATGAATTGAGAAGAGTCAGTGACTGCCTTATAGGACACATTTTTGGGTGTCGGACGTCCGAACGAAGTGATGCGTCCGACACAACCGTCCGAGCCAGGGATTTTCTGTACCTTGGATGAAGAACACCGTCGGACGTCCGTTTCAATTCATCGGACGTCCGATAAGGATTGACTGGAAATAAGACTCAGAACATTTTTTCTGTAACACCCAATTTAGTCCTTAAAAACACAAATTGATCTAGCGGAAGAGCTTTTGTGAGTATATCAGCGATCTGTTCTTTAGAACAAATAAACTCAACACGGATTATCCCCTTTGAGACAAGATCGCGAATGAAATGATGCTTAATATCAATGTGTTTAGTCCTAGAGTGTTGAATAGGATTTTTTGTTAGATTA